GCAGCAGTTAAGAGTTCCAGATCAGAAAGGGGGGGGGGACCAAAGTTTGAATTCTCACTCTTCCCCGAAAGCTCCCTGTGGGACCAGCCCTCCTCTCTCCACTTAGTCTGTTTCACAGCACGTTGTGAGGATAAAGTGGGGGCGGGAGAATCCCACCCGCCACCCTGAGCACTTTGAAAGAAGAAGAGCGTAGAAATGTGATGATCTTGCTTCAACAGGGCCTCCCCCCCCCCACCCCGTTATTCCTTTTGTTCCTTTCCCAGTGTGCCAGTTCCACCACCACTCTCTCCCAGCCCCCAGGGAACTTTCTCCGCTTCTTTCTATTAAAGGTACAGGAGCAGATCACGTCCCAGTAGCATATGAATTGTCCCAATTAAATCTGACAGTGTTTGCTTTTTGTTGCTGGCCCTGTTTCTGTTCCAGTGCTGTTGGGTCTCCGGGGAGGGGGTTGGGATAAAGTTCAGCGCTCCATCCAAAGACCAGCCAAGCGCTACATAAGGCAAGGGCAGTTTTGTGACTGACTTGAATCAGCCCCAGCCTTTACAGCCAACCCTCCCAAAGTTCCTTTCTCCCCCCCTGGAAAAAAAAGGAGTCTCCACTCTTGTTTGCTGTCCGTATACTTGACCACAAACAACTATTCACCATTCAAGCCAAGCCCGTTACAGTATATACAGTACATTTCTTGGCTTGATGGTCAGGAATTCCAGTGATATTTGAGAACATTCTGTATTTTTTTTTCCTTTTTTAAAAATGGGAAGCCAGCAAAATGTACAGAAGGAACAGCCAAAAGCAGCAAGAGAAGCTGCAAGTTCGCACATTTTTTAAAAAGGGAGCACGTAGAGGAGAAATAAACAGAGAGCGGTTAGCAGGGGTGTATGTGTGAATGCTGCCCACAGGCTTTGGCAACAGTGCAGGAGAAATGTATTTAGACTGCGGTCGCACACACACACTAAACAATCCACTTTCAATGCATTTTCCAACTGGATTTTTACCGTGCGAACTGGCAAAATCCAATTCGGAAGTGCATTGAAAGTGGATCATTTAGTGTGTGTGAGACCGCAGCCTTAGAGTGGCTAGAGCACTGGACTAGAACTGGGAAGCAATGCTCTCTCTAAGCTGTGGAGTCTTGTGAGCAAACATTCTGCTTTGTGAGCTACTGGCATTACAGTTGTGAGCGAGCGACCTCATTTGGAATACTGTGTGCAGTTCTGGTCACCACACCGTAAAAAGGATATTTTAGCTTTGGAAAAAGTACAGAAAAGGGCAACTCGAATGATAAAAGGGTTGGAACACTTTTTGTATGAGGAAAGGTTAAAGCACTTAGGCCTCTTTAGCTTGGAGAAACGACAGCCGAGGGGTGACATGATTGAGGTTTATAAGATTATGCATGGGAAAGAGCAGGTAGAGAAAGAGGAACTTTTCTCCCTTTCTCACAATACAAGAACTCGTGGGCACTCAATGAAATTGCTGAGCGGTCGGGTTAGAACGGATAAAAGGAAGTCCTTCTTCACCCAAAGAGTGATTCACACATGGAATTCACTGCCACAGGAGGTGGTGGCGGCTACAAGCATGGACGGCTTCAAAAGGGAATTAAAGAAGCATATGGAGCAGAGGTCCATCAGTGACTATTAACCACAAGGTATAGATAGGGACTCTGGGGCAAGTGATGCTCGTCTTCTTGGTGCTTGGGGGGGTCAACAGTGGGAGGGCTTCTAATGTCCTGGCCCCACTGGTGGACCTCCAGAGTGTTGGACTGGATGGGCCTTTGGCCTGATCCAACATTGGCGTCTCTTATGTTCTTATGTTCTTATGAGCGATTTTTTTGGCTGCTGCATAAATCAGTTTGCTCTGGAGCCATCCTTCCTGAGCTAAGACAAAAACATGTGAGCTGGGGGCTAAAAAACTGTGAGCTAGCTCACACTAACTCAGCTTAGAGTGAATACTGCTGGGAAGAACCATATTCAAATCACCTCTCAGCCACCACGATCACCGAGTGACTTGGGGCCCAGTCTCTCTCAGTCTGACCTATCTCACAGAGTTGTTGTGGGGATCAAATACAAGACCAGAAAGCCAGACTGTCCCGAGCTCCTTGGAATAAGGGCAAGGTGGGAAAATGTGGGTGGGTAGATGAACAGATGGCTGTATGGATAATTCACGTTGAAACGGTGCTTGACTTTCCCCTCAGGGGTCTCTGGAGACCTCGTCTGCAACTTATTTTTATTGAGTATTTAATGGTTAATTGGGGAAGGCCTGTAGGGTTCCACCCACCGAGATGAGGCTCTTTAACCCTCTTCCCTCACCTGCTCAGCAAGATGGGCTTCTCCCATCATGCACCTCTGTTGCCGTTCACACCGGGGAGGGGAGGGGGTGAGGTGCCCTTGGCATCTGTTATTCCCAATGGGGAGGGGACCCTCAGTACAACTACATTTCCCAGGGTTTCTGGGACAATGGAGTAGGTCCGTGACTAGCTTACGAGTATAATACCATAGAGGTCCCCCCTCCAAAGCAGCCATTTTCTCCAAGGGGGCTGATTTCTGTAGGCTGGAGATCAGATGTAATTCTGGGGAGATCTCCAGGCCCCACCTGAAGGCTGGCAAGGCTGTTTGGACCTTGCTGGTTAAAGGAGGCTTTGAAAGACTCCTTTCACTAGCAAAGGTCCAAAGAGCTGTGCCATCAGTTCTTCAGAGTCGATGGGAAAACGGTCTTGCGCCAGAGAAGCCACCCACCCACACCGCACAGCTAAGCACACTGGAAAACAAGGAGAGTTTCTAAAGCAGTGTGGGCTGATACATGGATGTCAGGTGTGTGTGTGGGGGGGAGTGCTTTGGATCCTGTCATTGTTACGCCGAAGAATGAGAAACGAGGCTTTCAAATCAGCTGTACGCGTGTATTTATTTATTTATTTATACATTCAGCTTATATACCGCCCTGACCCCGAAGGGTCTCTGGGCGGTTTACATAGGAGTCTAAGTCTACTTTCCCTATCTACGGCCACATAGTGCACCCAGGTGGTGGGGCTCGCTGTTTTTCCGGCTCGGCTCCTTCTTCTTCCGGCAGCCTTCGGGGTTGATACTTCCATCCTGGCGGCCAGGGATAGGTCTTCCCTTTTTTGGTGGCTTTCTTTTGGCGGGCCCATCTGGTGCGCGGTTCGTGTCAGCACAGCTCCGGCTAATGTCCATTTCGGCTCACAGACTCAGTCTTTTACCCCCAAAAAGTTCTCGGGGGAGCTACACCCCCATCCTCCCTGCAGAATGTGCCAGCCGAAGTCTCTTTGTCTTTCAAAAGGGGTTGTTGCTTTTTCTTGAACGGTGCTTTTTCTGTTGACGGACTCCAAAACTGTTGGGCACGGCTTTTAGCAAGTCTCCGGCTCTGCTCCCCAAGGCTGTGTGAAGAATCACTAACAGGCTATAATCCCACTTCCCATGGGTGGATTACGTATGTCATCTGCCCCCCCCCCACACACACACAGCCTTCCACACCAAAGGCGACACCATGCTCCCACTTTCTGCAGCTCTCTCTTTTGCTCTGTTTTAAACTCTGACAACCCGGGTGATGAAAGCGCAGTAAGGAAACATAGGCATCACCCCACAGCTTTGCTAAAGATGGGAGATCCCCCCCCCCAGCTTCTGTGAGCAGCAGAAGGAGCCTGGTAACACCTGGCATTGTTGCTTAGCAACATGGAACACATACACTAGAGTAAAATTCTGCAGACCCGGTTCCTCCACCAAGAGCCAGAGACCTAGGATGCTCTTGTAAGTTTCTTGATAGCTGAAATCAGATGGGTGTGCCTTAAATTCCCAGGCATCTGCAGTGTCGCTCGGAGAAGAAACTGCTTTTTTTGCTGCCTGCCCCAAAAGGTAAGAACAGAAACAGTCTCCCTAGCAAATCAAGTATTTACACAGTAGAGAATGACAGGGAAAGAAAAGAAGCTAGGATAGTGATCTGGTTGAGTGGCCGTGCCCCAAAGATTTTAACGAAATGTAACAATTACCCCCCACATTCAGAAATCTGGCAAGTAATGCCTATCCTGGCTTGGAGGTATGGCAACCAGTTCTTCTGGAGGGCCAACAGCAGGGCATAGAGGCCGAGGCCTTCCCCCAATGTTCCTTCCTGGCACATGGCTAGTAGTCACTGATAGACCGATTCTCCATGAATCTGTCTAATCCCCTTTTAAAGCTGTCTATGCCTGTGGCCATCACAACATCCTCTGGCAGCAAATTCCACATTTTGATCACTCTCTGTATAAATTAGTCTTTCCTTTTGTCCAGGGCTCTTTTTGTAGAAAAAGCCCAGCAGGAACTCATTAGCATAATAGGCCACACCCAACAGCAGGAACTCATTAGCATATTAGGCCACACCTCTGACAGCACAGCTCATTCGCACATTAGGCCGCACCCCCATGTTACCAGAAGTGTGGTCATCCAGCCACACCCACCTTTTGCTTGTTATTCTGTTTACCTTGTTTGTTGTCAAAACCCAGGGCCTTTTTTTGTAGCAGGAACTCCTTTGCACACACCCCTAATGTAGCCAATCCTGATGAGTTTCTGCTGCTGGGTGTGGCCTATTATGCTAGTGAGTTCCTGCTGGGCGTGGCCAACTTGGGAGCCAGCCGGAACTCCGTTCCTGTGCGTTCCTGCCCAAAAATAGCCCTGCTTTTGTCTATCCTGAAACTACTGCCCATCAGCTTCACTGGATGCCCTTGAGTTCTAGTACCCTGGGAGAGGGAGAAAAAGTGTTGTCAACTCTCTGTACCCTGTGTGCATAAGGTCCTGAAAGACTGGCACCGTCAAACTGTTCCAAAGTGGCCTTCTATAATGAGAAACAGGGCAGGGAGCAGAATGGACCCATCGAGCAGAATCCTTCTACATGTGTTCCTTTTTTGTTTTTAATGTGCACAGTGAAGCATGGCTCAAGAGCCTGAAAAGCCGTTTGAGGATCCTGAGATGACTGCCCTCTGGGACCACTTGGCGAGAAGGGGAAAGCAAACACCACGGGCCGGCATGCAGCAGGTGTCTCCAAGAACGGATGCTCAGTGGAAGGCCATTTTCTACGACAGCGTGCAGCCGAGGGCTTTGCATCTGCAGAATGTGAAAGTGGGCATGCTCCGCAAGAGCAAGGCGCAGCAAGAAAAGGCAGAGAAGAAAGTACTCCCCGATAGACTGTCCAGAGAATGGTTTGATGAAGAGGCCATGACCCTGGAGACGCGGGCTTACTTGCTCGACAAACTCCTCCCAACCTTAGTGCCCGGGGTAGAGAAGCTGTTAAAGGTGGCAGAGAGGAAGAAGGTGCTAGAAGTGGAGACCGAGGAGATGGAGGAGCAGCCCTCCAATTTTGACCCCATTAATTTCCTGGGAGAGTACCTGATGAGGTATAATCCTTCCTATGCCATCTCTGCACTTCCAGATCCCTACGTAGCAGGGATCAAGGCCGTCACCGAAGAGCTGAAAGCGAAGGTGCCAGAGACAACACCAAACAAGTGAGTGGGTCTGAGTGGCAAAATCCCATGTAAGGATCTTGGGGGAGAGAGATTTCTAGAGGGGGGGGGGTTTGGCAGCCCTTGACTCCCTCCTGGGTGTTCTTCAGCACAGCCATCCCAAGGGCATCCTCTCTAAGATCAGACCAGGGATCTGCCTCATCCTTCATCCTGTCCTTAGGGCACGAAAGGATGGAAAATGTCCCTAACTGTAAATCTCCAGTGATGTTTTGGAAACCCTGCCCTAACCCAGTTATAAAGGTAAAGGTTTCCCTTGCTCGAAAACTAGTCGAAACCAACTCTTCCCGTTTCCAAGCCGAAGAGCCAGCACTGTCTGAAGACGTTTTCATGGTCATGTGGCCAGCATGACTAAAAGCCGAGGTGCACAGAACACTGTTACCCAAGTTATACCTGTACCCATACAGGCTAGCCCAGCTGAAGGAGTTGGTCAAGGAGAAGCGCAAGCAGAGGGAGCAAGTGGAAGAGATCAAGAATCGCGTGAAAGCCATGCGCAAGAAGGCCCTGGCGGTGCAGTTCAGAGAATGGACGCTGGATACCAGCTTGCAGATCCCACTTGCAATGGTAAATAGGGCAATCATTAGGACGTCTTTTTCTCTTCCCTTTAAGTAACATTCCTGGAAGGAAAAGGACAAGGACTGATGGCAGTGCAGAGTACCAGGGCCTCCCTCTGCTGCCATGCCTTCCAGCTCCAGGTCCCCTCTTGACAGAGTCCCGGTTGGCAACTGTGTGCAGACAGCAATGTTCGCTTCCCCCCCCCCCATGCCATCTCGCCCCCTCTCCATGCAAGCCACGTTGCTAGACTCTTCCGTCTCTCCTCTGCAGTGTCAACGGCAGCAGGGTGGGGTGGAGGAGGCATCTCTAGGAGCACTGAACCCAAGTTGCAGGCAGATCGGAATGAAGAGCTGAGTTTGCTAGAAGGGGAAACTCATGCTGGGGGACTACCATGCAGCCCTAGCCTAGGCTTGTTTACTCAGAAGAAAATCCCATTCCGTCTGGGAAAGACTGCATTCTCCTGTGTATCTTGGAGTAAACTGCTGAGCCACATAAACAAGTCAGGGGCTCTGCCGCCTGAGATATATTTATTAAATTGCTATCTTTCCTTTCCATTGGCGTGCACAAAGCAAAACCAGCATCGCACAAAAATAATTCTACCAAAGAGTTTATTAAACCCCTGAACCACGTAATTTTGCACCTCCCACTCACATCTCCCCGGCCCATCTAATTCCTTTCTGGACCTTCCCAGCCTTTTCTTTCCCAAATGCATATCATGCCCTGCCCAGCTAAAGCAGAGACAGGGAGATAAACAGATGAAGCTAAAAGAAACCATCTTCATTCCGCTTCCCTGGCAGATGTTTGCCAGCTGTAGGTCAGCAACGTTCCCCAAAGGTGTGTCCCCCTCTGCACTCTTCCACTCCCAAGCACATTGTGTTGGCAAGATAGGACAAGAGCCTATCCCTAGGCAAGACAAGGCAAGAGCTACGGTGCACCTCCAGCCCTTGCAGTGTTCCTCCAGCTGGCTCTTAAGTTGAAGGAAGAGCCATTTAGGTTGGAGGAAGGCTCCCTGGTAGACTGCTGGATCCACCCCAAGAGATCCATAGCTGGATTTCCCAATTACCTTGCATTTCTGTTAAAGCAGTCGCTTGTGTGTACATGTGATTCAAATCTGGCCAGAGGGGATTTGATCCTTTCTTGAGTAGGAATCAGGCTCCAAGAGAGATGGGTTGCCTGCTTTTGTTCACTTCCAGGGATCTCACTGCTGACAGGGACAGGATTTTTATCCAGGAAAGAGTAGGGGAAGGAAAGAGTTAAACCCGCCTCCTTCTACATCATATCCCCAGTGCAAATGCCCGACCGTGTGCAAAGTGTTGTGAAGTCCCAGCCGACTTACGATGATGTTAATAAGGTTTTAAAAGCAAGAGGCATTCAGGGGTGGTTTGGAGGAGGAGGAGGAGGAGATTGGATTTATACCCCGCCCTTCACTTGGAGTCTCAGAGCGGTTTACAAACTCCTTTCGCTTCCCCTTCCCCTCCCCACAACAGACACCCTGTGAGGTGGGTGGGGCTGAGAGAACTCTGACACAAACGGCTCTTTTTCAAGGACAGCTGTGCCAGAGCTTGTGACTGACCCAAGGTCACATCAGCAGGTGCAAGTGGAGGAGTGGGGAATCAAACCCGGTTCTCCCAGATTAGAGCCCGCGCACTTAACCACGACACCAAACTGGCTCTGCCATTGCCTCCTTCTGCAGAGTGACTCTGGACTTCCTTGGTGGTCTCCCATCCAAGTACTAACCAGGACTGATCCTGCTTAGCTTCTGAGAGCGGATAAGATTGGGCTAGCCTGGGCCATCCAGGTCAGGCCACACCCTTCCTTGTCACATCTGTTCCTAAGTTAAATTGGAGACATCAGGAGACCTGCTCTCTGATCTCTTGCATCTCTTCCAGTTTGGTGTAGTGGTTAAGTGTGCGGACTCTAATCTGGGAGAACCGGGTTGGATTCCCCACTCCTCCACTTGCACCTGCTGATGTGACCTTGGGTCAGTCACAAGCTCTGGCACAGCTGTTCCTGAAAGAGCAGTTTCTGTCAGAGCTCTCCCAGCCCCACCCACCTCACAGGGTGTCTGCTGTGGGGAGGGGAAGGGAAAGGAGTTTGTAAGCTGCTCTGAGACTTCAAGTGAAGGGCGGGGCGTAAATCCAATCTCCTCCTCTCCTCCTCTTCTTGTCCAACGAGCTTCTTGCAGAGCCTGGCTGGGCAAAGCAGGGGCTTGCAGAGCTGGCTCTTGAAACCATCTCTTTGATTTGCAGGCCCAAAGTGCCCTGAAGTCATTCCTGGACATGCACACTTTGCCCACCGACACCAGAGAAGGTAAGACCAAAGCAGTCGCTGGAGTGGCTACACGTATTGTCCTTTGGTTGCACAGCCAATGCTCCTGAGGATTTTTTTTCCCAAAGTCAAAAGAAGACACAGGGCAAACATGGGAAGCCCTAGGCATGCTCAGTGCCCAGATTTACACACACACACACACAAACTCCAGAGCATACCTTAAAGCAGCCAGCTTCATCAAAAGGCTGGTCAGGTAGTTTGACCCCCTTCCAAGCACAGGACCATCAGCCTCACAGCTCCCCTACACAATCCCACCCAAAGAATGGTTCAGTGTGGCACTGAGCACAGCTTAGAAGAGTCTGAGCTCGAATGAGTAGCATCCAGCAGTGGGATCCGGGAGCAGGGTGAAGGTCAGGACCTGGGAGAGCTCCCCCGGGGAAGGCAGAGACCAGCTGCCCTCGGGCCCCCGTTCGCCAGCATTTATCTACTGACGATTTAGACTCTGCCCACTGCACGACAGCCATTAAAGCAGCGCGTCGCAGTTCATCACTGAAACTTAACAACTCACGTTACTGACTTTAATGTGTTGTTTCTATTTCTGTGAGTTGCCTCCGCCAGCTCTTAAGCACACACAGAAGGATGACGATGGCACACGAGAGAACATCAGGCTGGCTTGACCAAACCGGTTAGGCGGGAGGCTCACAGCAGTCTAAGGGATTCTGAACCAGAACATTTGACCACAAATGACGTGCTGTTGGAGGCCAGTCTGACTCCCCCCTGCAGCACACGCTCACTTTGGGGGGGGGGGTGTCAGCGGCCCAAACAGCCATTTGCACTTCAGCTGGGGAAAGGGCCCCAGGGAGGACAGGGTGTTGCGCTGGCTGGCCCAGCCGGAAATCAGACATTGAATACAGAAATAAAAACCATACACACACCCCGCAGTCACTTTCCAAGGTGTCTGGAATCATTACAACCAAGGTGCACCATAAACAGAGGACAAAGGCAGCACTGGAAGGCACTTACAACCGGAGGCTCCAAAAATAACAGTCATGTACTACCTTTGAACTAGGACTGATCAAAAAATATCATACAATAGGCAAAATTCTGAGTTCCCCAGCACTCTTCAGTTGTGATCACACACAGAATTAGCTGCGCAATGCCAGGCGGATTTTAAGGGCACGATCAGACGCCAACATCTGCCAAGAGTCCCGCGCACAGACATTGCTCTCCCTTGAGTATGGGACTTTCTTTTAGCCATATTTCCTCAGGATACCTGACAAGACTGATTCAGCCCCATCTTCGTAGGGCTTTCATGCTAGCGCGGTTCGACGTCCTTCCCTCAGCTGTTCTATCAGGAAGGTTCAAGAAAATTCCCTATAAAGATAGATTGTGCCCCTGTGGGATGGGGGAAATTGAATCCATTGGACATGTGCTATTGTACTGTAAATTCCACTGTGACATCCGTGTTATTTATATTGAACCTGTGTTGGACCCCCTTTTGGGCCAATCTGATGAGCATAAAAGTAGTTCTTTATTGTCTTTGCATAATATAGAAATTCTGGAACCTGCAGCAAATTTCTTTTTTGAGGTATCTAGGAGGAGAGGCTCATATTAAGGCAATTCGGAATGTGGTACCCCTCCAGCCTATCTTGAGGCTCTATGCTGCATGTGCATTTGATATTTTATGCCAATAAAGGTATTGCATTTGTTTGTTTGTTTGAGTCCCGCTCCCCTCGGCAACCTGTTTTGCTCCGCTGCAGAAGCGGAGTAAAAAGACACCGGGGCAACTCCAGTAGCAAACAGGTTTGCTACGGGCCAGGAATGGACTTTCCCCTGTGTGATTGTGCCAGCGTGGTCTCATGGCGTCGGGATGGTCGGATCAGGCCATCCCGACTCCATGCCGTTGTCCCCCCCCCCCCCGTTTCAGTATGCACTGCACATCATCGCACACTGCATAGGGAGCACTCAGTGCAGAGATGCGAAGCATCAATCCCTCGTTGAAGCGCACCAGAAATACGTGGCCAAAAAACCCCACCGACTCACCCGCGTTTGTGTCTGATCACGCAGTGGCGGGCTGCCCCTGCAGTTCCCAGGGACTGTGTGATCGCGCAAATGCGGGTCAAACTCCTGCGGAGCAAATAGCCTCGCTCCCCCCCCTCCCATTATCTCACGCATGTGTGAACGCTGCCTTCATCAGACTGTAAGTCCAGTGCAAAAAGAAAGACACAAAAATGTTGGGGGAGAAGAGAAAAGCTATTTCAGGGCATGGTGGGGAAGCCCAAGTCTGAAGTCCGAAGAGTCTTCAGATGGAATGTAGCATGTGTTGCAGACTTACCCGGATTACGCAGGGAGCAATCCTAAGCAAGTCTACTCTGAGGAAAGCCCAGTAGTATTCAGTGGGACTTGCTCCCAGGAAAGTGCTTCTCCATGTATGCACTGCCTTCCTGTCCAGTGGGGACCCAAAGCAGCTTACATCTTCCTCCTGAGGATCGCAGCCGCAGTGTCGGGTGCAAAAGAGGCTTCAGCACGCACAGAGGGTTGTTCGCACGGTGGAGCGAAACAAGGGCCACTCTCCTCTTGAGAATATAGAAACCAGCATATAATATCTCTGGATTGAAAGTCATAAATATTCCCTAAATAAATTGTTTGTTTGTTCGACTTATATCCAGCCCTCCCCGCCGAGGCAGGCTCAGGGCAGGATTTAATGTCTCGGGCACGATCAACTTGAGATGCAGTGAGACAAACCCTGTGTTTTAGGGGAAGGATGAAAGCAAGGAAAAAAGGGTCATTGCCAATCTGCCAGGGAGAGAAAATGGTTAAAGTTTCTTTGGGAGTTCTCTTGCTTGGGGTCATCTGTTGCCTGCCCTTATTCCAGAGCACCTCCTTGGGTACAGCGCCATCTTTTCTTCCTGGAGACTCCCTTTTAGTAGGACCCAATGCACTAAGCAGGCAGAACGCCATGCTTTATGGCTGCATAAAGATAATTTACTGCCCATGAATGTCTTCGGGAACAAGCAGTAAATGAACTCTGCTGGGGATTCTCTCATTGGCAGCAGAAGCGAGAATAACTCGACTCGCGGTTCCCTGTAGTGGTAGCGTGCTACATCTTCTCTCAAGACATCCCACAGAAATGCCGGCACTCTCTTTATAGACCCTGGGCCTGGTGTGCTATCCTTGATGGTGGTGACCTTGCACCTGACCTCAAAAGCCTATAGAGGATCTGAAGGGCTTTAGAAATGATGCTTCTCAGACCAAACCAGAGAACCCAGCCATTCCTGTTAACGCAGATACACACTCTGGTGCCATTTATTTATCGTGGTTAATTTGTATGCTGCTGTTTTGCCTTGCAGAGATTCATGGTGGCTGACAATTTTTGAACTCCCACAAAATAAAATCAGATAATAAAATGTGATCATAGAGCTCTCACTCAAATTTCAGTTCAACTAACCACATCAACGTGTTTCAGAAGGGAACGGCGATTGTAAGCCACTTTGAGACTCCTTAAGGTAGTCAAAAGCAGGGTATAAAAACCTACTCGCCTTCTTCTTCTTGCCAATCAGACAAAGCAGGTTCCAGTAGAAAGGCCTTTCCCATTGGTCTCAGCACATGGGCTGGTTGAGGTGGGTGGAAACGGTCTGTCCATGATTCCACTTCATCAGTGGTTCTCTACCTAGAAACAAAGCAGAACCAGATAGTTGTTGCATCCAGTTTCCCCAGGACTGCCTCTCAGTCTTAGACCAGCTTGCATGTTAAACAGCACCAGTTTCCTTGTGGAAAGGGAATGGAAAGCCTCCACCCTGCATTTTCATAGCCAGGCACCATTGTTTCCATTTGCAAGCACCATTTTGCAATGCCAGGAGCCCAACATTAACTGAACCCTTTAAGCAAGCAAAAATCCCCAATCACAGCTCCTGTCCAAAGGATGAGAGGGTGCCAGGCTTCATCCTGAAAGACCCTAGTCCGTATCTGCATTCAGCCTGGAGTCAGTCTTACTCTCACAGCCTAACCCATCCCACAGGGTTGTTGTGAGAGTTAAGTCAGACAACCTTCACTCTAGGCTCCTTGGGAGAAGATCAGGGCAAAAGGAGAAGAGTACTGTAAAGAATCATAGAATCATACAGTTGGAAGGGACCTCCAGGGTCATCTAGACCAACACCCTGCACAATGGAGGAAATTCACAAATACCTCCCCCCACACCTCCAATGACCCCTGTTCCATGCTCAGAAGATGACAAAAAACCTCCAAGATCTCCAGCCAAACTGGCTTGGAGAAAAATTGGTTCCTGACCACAAAATGGCAATCAGCATTTCCCTGGGCGTGTGAGAAAGGGCCACAAGAACTAAGCACTAATGCAGCCCTTCCTCCCCTCCCTCTCATGATCTGCCTAAGTTCACAGAATGTTTCTGGTGGGCTTCAGAGAGCGTTTAGTCTCACCAGATGGCCGGCCCTCCCAACAGCGGTAGTAGCAGGGCGATATAAAAGGATTCCTTTGAATGAAAGACTATGCCCCTGTGGCAGAGGTGAGATAGGAACAACAGAACATGTCCTCCTCCACTGCTCTTTATATCACAGCAGCTGTTCAAAGTATATTTCCCCCCCTGCTCAATAGAAATCCTGGGTGTTCAAATCCAAGATATGTTAAATTGCTGCTTCTGGGAGAAAATCCGCAGGTGCCTGCACTTTGTGCAAAATTCTGCGCAGCAGCCTGCAAAACTCAACAGAACATCCAAGAAAGTAAGGAAACAAAGTATGACACAAGTCAATTTAATATATATAGTTTTATAGATTTTAAAAGGTAATATTCCTTTATTTTATTCTATATCTTTTTCTCAAGAACCTTTTCATACAGGGTATTTCTATGTATTATTGGGAAATTATTGATAATCCCTTATGTACAAGTATTATATTTCTATCTGTAATTCTAACAACTGTGGGTGATAGCTTTGGCATATTTTACTCTGTGTTTTATGCTGGTTTAATGAATGAATGAATGAATGAATGAATGAATGAATGAATGAATGAATGAATGTTTCTGGGGGGGGGGGGTTGCCTCCCTTCCAGGGAGGTGGCAGAAGTAAAGTGTGGCCAAGGAGGGCAGCTTACCGAACCAAGCCGCGCTCCTGCTTCCACATCTTTCTGGTGGCACATGTGCTGCAGGCCAGCACCCTGTCCTGACAGCTGCTCATTTCCCAGATGCAGAGAAGCAAAATGGGACTCCTGTAACTTGAGCACTGAAGTAGAGGACGGGATTTCTCCTTTGCCTCCTTCCTAAAGGAGGAGGAGCTTCCCATGCCAGAGGGACAGAACACAGCCCAGTTCTCCCAGGATGCTGCTTAGCACTGACTATCATATTCCTTCCTTTGCCACAGGACTCTATGCCAGGTCTCTGGAAACCATAGAGACACTAGAGGTGAAACTGAACGAAGAGGAATTTGCTGAGGTGAGAAGCAATGCAGCTTCCTCTGAGCAAGAGTGACATGGGTGACCACCATCACATCTCGGTCTGCTCTAAGAGAGGTACTCCCTTGGCAAACATGTCTGGTCTCAGCCCCATGCTTGCTAAGATAATGGGGACCCAGGAAGAAAGGGGGAAGGTTGGCAGAAGAGAGGGGAGCTTGGCCCCCTCACATACCCCTGTTGATTCTCCATTGCAAATGCCCAATGAGAGTTCATTTCTGGGAGGAGGACATTTAGGGGCAAACCAGTGGGTCGTAGAAAGAGGTCCTGCATGCAAGTTTTCCCCTGCAGGCAGCTCCCAGCCTCGGGTTACAGGCAGCTGCACGCAGCTCCCAGCCTGAGGGTTACAAACCTGAAGTTTCCATTCTATCACAGCATTAGTTCCACCCTTTTGTTCCTTTCCCATCCCAAGTGTAACATCGGGAGGATTAGGCTCTCCCTGTATGCTGTCTCAGGATAGTGTCAGCCGTAGGACTGCCAAAATCCGGGTGGGGGCTAGGAAACACCCCCCCTCCGAATTACAACCGATCTCCAGGCTACATAACTTGCTTATTTATTATTTATTTAAAACACGTATTCCTCCTGGATCAAATGGCTCCTTTGGAAGGTGGACTATATGACATTATACCCTAATGAGATTCCCTCCCCTCCCTAAAACCCACCTTCCCAAGGCTCCACCCTCAAATCTCCAGGTATTTCTGAACCTGGAGCTGGCAACCCTACCCCTCCGGTACCAGAACAAGGGTCTGTTTTCTTCCCGGCTGAATTGTCAGGGGGGCGTTTGAGAAACAGATCCTATCAACGACAACAGTTGTGTCATACCTTTTTATTAGGAGCTACGGAAATATCACCAAATAGCAAGCCAGGAGCTCAAGTGAGTCTAGCAGTTCCAGGTCACCCATTAATTCAGATTTTCCACTTGCGCACTCGGGAGACGCCTCCCCCTCCCGCTCTTCTGCTGGCACTGTCGTTATTGCACAATTAGCACGGCTCCTACAGCATCTGTTTTTTGCTGCTGAAATTCTATTAGCCAATTCACAGAAGAAGCCTGGAATATCCCAGAGGAGGTTCTGCAGTATTGCCCTGAGTAGCGTAAAAAAGAAAATGGCCAGCGTTTGTCTGCAAAGATCCCAGCGCCAGTCGAGATGGACGGAGCCATGCCAAGCTATGCTAACAGAATGTGAGGAGGAATCTTTGGACTACCGCACATGGGCAGGCTGCCTCTTCAGTTTAGCTGTGCCCGAGGAGGGCGTGCTCCAAAAGCAAAGGGCAGGGTTTGAAGCAACTGCCCTGCTGCTGATAGCGAGTGGAGGCAACCGCTTGCTCCACCCCTTGGCTTTTGAGAGGCATCCATTTAATGCTCTGTAGAGAAACGGGTTGTCAAGGTATTTTTTTTTAAGATAAGTTGTCAATCTTGTTTTAAGCCTGCAGCGAGAGGTCTGAAAATTCCTCCTCAAAGTGACTGCTTCTAATTAAGACAATTATCCAGAATCACAGGCATTTGGAGAAGCCCATTCATCACTTGAATCAAGCGACTTGACTCTGCAGCTCAAGGATGCGTTCTAAACGCATCTCTATTAACCGTCGGGCAAGTGACATACTCAGATGAAGACCGGGACCACCGCTCCAGTACGGAGCTGGAATCACAAGGAGTCCCAAACTCCTGAGTTCTTGTGGCTTCTTGTCAGCAGGCAGTCCCAAAGCTACAAACAGCAGTAGGAGGGTGGCCGTGTGGGGGAACCGGTTACTGCAAAGAGGCCAGAGAGCCTAGTTTCTCAGGACAAAGAGGTACGTCCTGTGACACTGCAGTGCATGATTGAAAACAAGATCTAGTCCAAAGAATACAGAATCTACCTCCAACGGCCAATGAATTAGCAGAGGAGGATGAATGTGAGCAAAAAGGACAATGACCTTTCTGCTCACAACCCTGACTTGCAGGGCTATTTTTGAGCAGGAACGCACAGGAACGGCGTTCCGGCTGGCTTCAGAGTTGGCCACGCCCACTACAGTCAAAACCTCTGTGTACCTGGCTACAGAGGGAAGGCCTGGAGAGCGACCCCCCCTGACGATGCTGAGGTGGGGAGGCCAGGAGGCCCTGGAAGGATTTAAATGCCTCCCCATGCCTCCCCCAGCCTGTCCAAGGACTGGCTTGCCCAGGCGCCCCACAGCCGCAGGACACCTAGGCAAGCCAAGGGAGGGCAGTTTAAACTGCCTTCCCTTCCCTTCAAGGGGAGGCTTGCCCAGGCGCCACACAGCCACAGGGCTCCCAGGCAAGCCAAGGGAAGGCATGGGGTGTGGCCTAATATATTAATGAGCCATGCTGTTAGGGGTGTGGCCTATTATGCTAATGAGTTCCTGCTGGGCTTTTGCTACCAAAAAAGCCCTGCTGACTTGGATAGCCCAGGCTAGCCCAGTCTCATCAGATCTCGGAAGCGAAGCAGGGCCAGCCCTGACTAGTATTTGGATGGGAGACTTCCAAGGAATACCAGGGGTGTGACACAGAGGCAGGCAACGGCAGGTCTCTTGCCTTGAAAACCCTACAGGGTCACCATGAGTCAGCTGTGACTTGACGGCGCTTTCCATCACCACACGTACAACAGTGGTGTGATGTTATTCGATTAGGAGCAGATACAATTTCACAAAACAATGAACACACGTTTTCTAGTTCCCTAAAACTCTTCATCAGGCTGGATGAAAAGTACAAAGGGGGGTACTTAAGGTCTGGTGGAACAGCGCAAAGTCTGTAGTTTGTCGTGTTGTTAAAGTGGAGATCAGGAGATGATGCAGAATAATTGCAGTACATGGCGAGGGTGCCAAAAGTTCCTGGACTGAAGAAGCAACAATCAGAGTCTCTCTCCTGGAAACCATCATCTCTCTCTAGAGCGCAGGAGTCCCTGTAGGGCTGAGTGGGACTCCTTACCCAGGTTCTTTCTGCAGCCAGCTAACCACCCCCAGTCCTGGTTGCATCCCAGTCGGTGACTTGGATGGTGTCTGAGGGAAACCTCCACATTCAGAGGCACTAAACCTCTGAATCCCAGAGCCAGGAGGCACCCTCAGGGCAAGGTCTCGGCATTTAGGTCCCATTGTTGGCCCTCCAAAGGAACTTGACAGCCACTGTGTGAAACAGGATGCTGGACTAGACAGACCACCGGTCTGATGCAGCAGGGCTCTTCTTAGAGTCAGATCTGCAAATGAATTTCAACTCATCAGTTTCTCCCTGGAGTCTCCCTCTGAAACTCTTCTGCAACCTTTAAGTCTATTGTTATCTGTCCAAGGAGTCTGAAATGCACCCAGATAAATATCGTACATTTAAGTCTGTGAACAGCCATGAATGAGAGAGGAAATCACTCTGAAGCCAGGCATGCCCTGAGCTTGTTCACGGTGCAACGTCTCAGAGAAAGGCTTCGTCTTGACCCAAGTCCTTGGAGAGCTGCTCCCAACCAGGCTGGGCTCAATTGGGGAACTGTGTCCCTGTGGACAACTGGGATTTTGTGCTGGATCGTGGTCAAGGAGGAGCATTAATCAAGAACTAAGTCCACTGAAACAAAGCTGACCTTCCTGCTGGCTTGTAGCCAGAGGGTGTGAATAAGAGACTGGGATGAGGGGAAAAGAACATACTACATTTCCATTTCAACAAAAGTAGCCGCGGACTTCCGGTCTATGGCGGCGCGCTAGCAAACTCACCTCCCGGACCTCCCGGGGGTGAAGCTGCGCTCCAGCCAAAGAAGGGGGTGCGCTGGCTCGCAACCCCCCCCCCAGGCGCCCGGGGAAGAGACCCTGGCCATGGAACTTTAAAGTGGTCGCCTCTTCGACGGTGGAATGCCGGAGACTTGAGGCGCCTCTTTGTTCCGATGGTTCTCCATGCTGTGAGACCGAATGGGCTTAGCAACGCTGACCGGGTCAAGCGCAGGAGATCACGCGGCAGAAACAAAATGAAAGCAAGGTTGAAGGACCATTTATGAATGTGAGTCAATTCCGAAGCGTTTAAAGAGAAAAAGATAGCTCCCCACCCCACTTTACCGATTGGGAAAAAAGCGAGCGGGGGAGGGACGCCTCCTAAGCGCACAAACCTTTGAGCGAATGAGGGGGGGGAGTGGAAGAAAACACGAGGGAAACTGACTAGAAGTACTTACCAAAGTGAGTCTAAGCGACCAGGGGCATATTCAGAGACTTTCAAAAAAGTTTACAAAAAGTAAACAATCGAGAAAGATGGCGGGGAAGAAGGACAAAGAAAGATTTATGAAAGTGAAAGGGTTTGAGAGCCCAAAACCGGATGTGACCAGTGAGATGGCAAAGGCTGTAGCGGATTACATGCGCCCTCTACTGGAACAGCTGAATAACTTCAAAGAGCAGATGTCCGTGGTTACTCAAGGCATTACTGCACAACAAACGCAGATAAATGAAATGATACAAATAATGAAGCAGGATGCTGAGAAAGTAAAGGAAGTGGCTGCAACTAAATAGAAAGTGAAGAAGAAAGTGCAAAAGCTGGAGAGGAAACAAACTTCCTTGGAAGATCAGCTGTTGCAAGTTCAAATGGATAAGGCTAACATGGTCCTGCGTTTTCAGGGCGTGCCAGAGAACAGAGGGGAGAATCTTAAAGAAGTGATGAGTGAACTATTGGCCCCAGTGACAGAAATGAAGGCAGAAGTGTTACTTAATGATATGGACGTGGTCTATAGATCATACTCAGGATATATAAAGAAAAACAATCTGCCTGGGGAAATTGTAGTAAGATTCTCGAAGAGGCATGTCAGGGATGCAATCCTGAAAGCGGTTGCTGGAAAACCCCTGATAGCAGGGGAAAACAACATCAGAACGCTAAAGGATATTCCATTTGAAGTACGACAACGGAGAAAGAAATACAAAGAACTTGTGCTTTTTCTTCAGACAAACTCAATTGGATATAAATGGCTATTTCCAGAAGTTAGTAGTGGGCTATTTCCTTTATCCTGTATATGTAGTTTACCCTCCCTATTTTTT